GAGCGAGGGTCGTGGGGGGGGGGGGGTCAATGAAGCTCTGTAGTGGATAGACAGGAGATCTTGGAGGTCTTGATGCAGTACGTGGAGGTCAGAGATGATGAGATGGTGGTCAGAAGTGGTGGCGCAGGTGATCGCTCCTAATCTTCCAGGCTGCGGAAGGCGTTTTGCATGTCTTCCAGTAATTGGGCAAAATCTGCCCGGATCTTGGGTTCTCCGTCTTTCAGCGGGTCCTGCAAGAGCAAAAGAAAAGCCTCAGGTAAGAACGTGGCTTCTGGATGAGTGAGGTGGCACTGGACCTTGTAGGGAAGTTTTCACTGTGGTTGCTCTACTTGTGGAGGGATCGTGGGACTGCTGGCCCCTTCAAAGTGTGATAGTTGTCTCAGAAAGTGCTGTACACAAAACGTCCTAAAGACCTTCTGATCAATAAAAGTTGTGTTTATTAGGAAAACCTTTAACAGATAGTAACTAACAGTATTCTTGTGTTGTGCACCGGGCTGCATTCAGGCACATAGAACAGCTACACTGCGTCACAAGGGGGGTGCAGCCCGCACATGGGTGCCACCATTAGAGGGGTGACACCAAAATGACTGACAGTCATTTTGGTGTCACCCCTATGAAAAGCCAGGCACTCGGTCACATACCGAGAGCCCGACAGTGTCAGGAGAGAGGAGGGGACCCGGCAGCATACCTCATCCCACCGGGTGACCGTCCCCTCCTCTCTGCCAGCGTCCATTACCAAGATGGCTGCCGGCAAGCTTAAAAAAGACCACCGCAAATGCGCGATGGCGGGAAAAAAAAAAAAAGACCACCGCGCATGCACGATGACATCACGGGGGGGTGTCACCCGGTCCCCTCCGGCAAGCTTAAAAAAGACCACCGCAAATGCGCGATGGCGGGAAAAAAAAAAAAAGACCACTGCGCATGCACGATGACATCACGGTGGGGTGTCACCCGGTCCCCGCCCCCGGGTGACAGCCAGCCTCGGGACCCCACTGCCCAAGGCATTCTACAGGAGGCCACAACTTACTCCCCACTGGTCCACATTTCCAAGCTTTAAGCCCTAAAGAAGGGAAGTTTAACGCCAAAAGGTGTTGGATGTTTTATGTTTACACTTTTTCCTAATAAACAAGAAATGTTAAAGAATAAGAATCACCATCATTTACAAATTTTGGAGTACCCCAATGGCCAAAGTGCATGAAGCACTTGGTGCCGTGGTTGTTGTGCTAGCGTTGTCGACAGCAAGCGGTCCGCTCCTTGGTCCAACTGGCATGTCTGAGGACCTACGAATGCACACACTGGTTTTTCAGTATCAAGTACCGATATTTTGCTTTCGGTACTCGCCGATACCAAGTACCAATGCGTCCGCTGGCATGGAGCCGGTTTCCCGGGCAATCAGGAAGCCGGGCGGCATGTAATGTAAGTAAGCCAGCTCCATGTTGTTTGCACGGCTCGATTGTGATGTGCTGGGAAACCGGCTTTCCAGCCAATCAGCAACGAGCCGGCTTCCCGGCAAATCAGGAAGCCGGGTGGCGAATAATAACCCGCCTCCCTGATTAGCTGGAAAACCGGCTTTCCAGCCAATCAGCAAGGAGCCATCTGTTTGGCCAATCAGGAAGGCGGGAGGAAGGTCATTACTCGCCACCCAGCTTCCTGATTGCCCAGGAAGCAGGCTCCATGTTCCCCTACGGCACTGCCGGTCAGAGGAAATTTTGCTCTGACCAGAAGTTCCGGTATCAGAGCATTCGGACGAGTACTCGCCCAAATACTCGGTATCGGTACCGATTACTTATACTAGTATCGGTGCATCCCTCATTATTATAATCATCATCAATCTGGCATTTCCACTTGTATCATCATTATAAAGACGTATGGACTGGTTTTAGAATTATAGTATCAAAGATATTGATTATCTCTCCTGTTTATGATTTGGTTGCTGAATAACAGGTGAATACCTACATGTGTACCTGTAACTCCCTTTATGTTATACTCCAGGGGTAAGCAACCTCAGCATTTCAGCTGTTGTGGAACCGCAAGTCTCAAGAGGCATTACTCACCGCGCATGCACGATGACATCACGGTGGGGTGTCACCCGGTCCCCGCCCCCGGGTGACAGCCAGCCTCGGGACCCCACTGCCCAAGGCATTCTACAGGAGGCCACAACTTACTCCCCACTGGTCCACATTTCCAAGCTTTAAGCCCTAAAGAAGGGAAGTTTAACGCCAAAAGGTGTTGGATGTTTTATGTTTACACTTTTTCCTAATAAACAAGAAATGTTAAAGAATAAGAATCACCATCATTTACAAATTTTGGAGTACCCCAATGGCCAAAGTGCATGAAGCACTTGGTGCCGTGGTTGTTGTGCTAGCGTTGTCGACAGCAAGCGGTCCGCTCCTTGGTCCAACTGGCATGTCTGAGGACCTACGAATGCACACACTGGTTTTTCAGTATCAAGTACCGATATTTTGCTTTCGGTACTCGCCGATACCAAGTACCAATGCGTCCGCTGGCATGGAGCCGGTTTCCCGGGCAATCAGGAAGCCGGGCGGCATGTAATGTAAGTAAGCCAGCTCCATGTTGTTTGCACGGCTCGATTGTGATGTGCTGGGAAACCGGCTTTCCAGCCAATCAGCAACGAGCCGGCTTCCCGGCAAATCAGGAAGCCGGGTGGCGAATAATAACCCGCCTCCCTGATTAGCTGGAAAACCGGCTTTCCAGCCAATCAGCAAGGAGCCATCTGTTTGGCCAATCAGGAAGGCGGGAGGAAGGTCATTACTCGCCACCCAGCTTCCTGATTGCCCAGGAAGCAGGCTCCATGTTCCCCTACGGCACTGCCGGTCAGAGGAAATTTTGCTCTGACCAGAAGTTCCGGTATCAGAGCATTCGGACGAGTACTCGCCCAAATACTCGGTATCGGTACCGATTACTTATACTAGTATCGGTGCATCCCTCATTATTATAATCATCATCAATCTGGCATTTCCACTTGTATCATCATTATAAAGACGTATGGACTGGTTTTAGAATTATAGTATCAAAGATATTGATTATCTCTCCTGTTTATGATTTGGTTGCTGAATAACAGGTGAATACCTACATGTGTACCTGTAACTCCCTTTATGTTATACTCCAGGGGTAAGCAACCTCAGCATTTCAGCTGTTGTGGAACCGCAAGTCTCAAGAGGCATTACAAGTCTCTGACAGCCACAGGCATGACTCCCACAGGCAGGGATATGATTGAATTTGTGGTTTCAGCACAGCTGCAGTGCCGAGGTTGCCTACCCTTGTTATACTCTAATGCACCTGTACAAAAAGACCAGAAGAAAAACAAACAAAAAAAACTTACAGGGGCCTTAACCCTTCCCTACTCTATCCGAAGCCAGGGTACTGTGCTGACCTTGAATTTCATGGTGGAAAGTCTGTAGAGGATCTCCCCCATGTGCTCCTTGATTATGGACCATGTGATCCTGTTTTCGCTCTGTGCAGTGGTCTCTACAGCGCGGCGGGCCAGATCGTAGAATGTGATCATGTTGGACAGCATGCCCACCGTCTTGTAGAAGGGGCAGAACCTGGAGGAAGAAAGAGTTAAAGATAAGAGGTCAGAGGCCACACAGCCCACTCAGCGGATTCTAAGAATCTCAGCAATAATAATAATACAATAATATTAATAACTGTAATGTGCAATGAAAGGATTCATTGGTCAGTTTAAAAAAAGCCAAAATTCAGTTTGGTTTTACCGCTGGAACAAGTGGGCTCTCCTGTTGCATCCTTCAGAGTATATAGTAAATCAGAGGAAACCTATACTATGAAAAATGCTTTCTCCTGTCCTTTCCTTCTAAACTGACACGGATCAGTAGGTCTCATGTCACTGGCTGATACTTTTTCTGCAACTAAAGCTAAAGAGGTTAAAAGGCTTTTTAACCCCTTCATGACTGAGGCCCTTTTTTCATTTTTTTGCACCCATGTTATATTCCACATTTTAGGCCTGAAAATGACGTAAAACCCCCCAACATTGTATATTTTCTGAATGCCAAGACCCTATAGAATAAAATGGTGGTAGTTGAAAATTTTTATGTTGCGCAATATTAGCGCAACTCCTTATTAAATCCCAAAATTTAGTGACAAATTTAATTAAATGCCCCAAAACACAACAAATTACCCATTTTTTTATGAAATATAAAAGATGAGGTTACAACGAGTAAAACGATACCCAACATGCCCAGTTTACAGATTGCGTGCGACCGTGAAACGGCGAAAAACTGCAGTACCCCAAAAAGTCAATAAAAGACGCTTTAAAAGCCCCCACAGGTCATCAATTTAGAGATACCCCAAAATACTGGCCCTAGAATTATTGCTCTCACTCCGGCGTGCGCGGTGATACCCAACATGTGTAGCGTGTTCGTCGTTTTCATGCGTAGGCGCACCCGACGCGTGTTTACGTGGCGACGCGCGTGCTCGTGGGGGCGGGTGACTTTTAAATTTTTTTTTTATTATTATTAGATTTATTTTACTTCATTTTAATTTTAAAAACTGTTTTTTGTTTGTTTTTTTACTTTACTTTGACTGCTATCACATGGGGGGGCTTGCAAGCCACCCCCATGTAATAGCAGATGGTGGTACAGGTCCTCTTTAAGGTGATGCTGGGGGTCCAAAAGACCCTCAGTGTCACCTTTACACTAGAAATGAGCTATTGAAGTGCAGATCGCACTTCAATAGCTTATAGCTGGGCTGCAGGAGCCCAGAACTGACAGCCCAGGGACCGGAAGTGATGCAATCTGCATCGCTCCCGGTCCCATAGAACGGGGAGGGGATCGATGAACGGAAGTTCGTCGACCTCCTCCCCAGCTCCCCGCGGCCACAAAGATCGCCGGTCCCGGGCCCGTAGGAGGGGCAACGGAGCCCGGGAAGCACGGCGGGGGTGTCCGGCGGGGGGGGGCGGCCCCTTCTTCGGGACGCAGAAGCGATCTGGCGACAGGTAAGTCGCCAGGATCGCTTCTGTTGTAAAGCCGACAGTCGGCTCTACAAGTTTAAACAGACTCCCGGCGGCAAAAGTCGCCGGGAGTCTGTTTAAACAGCCCCGATGCTGGCGACGTACACTGTACGTCGTCAGTCACGAAGGGGTTAATACCCCTAAGAAAGCAGAGATGGTGGGAGATGGGCACAGCAGGTGTACAGACCCGGGAACTCAGCACAGGGATGGTGGGAGCTCCTCATAATGGGCACAGCGGGGGTACAGACCCGGGAACTCAGCACAGGGATGGTGGGAGCTCCTCATAATGGGCACAGCGGGTGTACAGACCCAGGAACTCAGAACAGGGATGGTGGGGGCCCCTCATAATGGGCACAGCAGGTGTACAGACCCAGGAACTAAGCTCTTGGATAGTGGAAGCCCCCTTTATAATTGGTACAGAGGGTGTAGACACAGGAACTTAGCTCGGGGTTGGTGGGAAGCCCTCATAATGGGCACAGCGGGTGTACAGACCCAGGAACTCAGCTCATGGATAGTGGAAGCCCCTCGTAATTGGTACAGAGGGTGTATAGACACAGGAACTCAGCTCGGGGTTGGTGGGAAGCCCTCATAATGGGCACAGCAGGTGTACAGACCCAGGATCTTGGCACAGAGATCTCACCAACAGAGTTCTCAGAGGACAGAAAAAAATTTCAGGTGGTTTAACTCTAGGCACTAGGCATCTACTAAACTGTGTTATATGAGATTTGGGTAGAATGGCCCTTAAAAAATTAGAATATCTACAGAACACTGAGCTCCCTGCATTAAACTGGTGACGGGACACACACAACTGTGCTGCAAAGTGAAAACCCCCCATTGCAGGAAGAAAACCATCACATGAGAAAAATATCTCTGGACAGTTGTTCACAGACACGGCTCCCTCTGCTGCCCGGGGAACGTTATAAAAGGTATTGTCAGTGTCTAAGCCACAGACGGCAGGATATGGGGGCATTGTCTGACCTGTCATATGGAGTATATCCGTTCTGTTGCAGGAAATCATCCTTAATCAGCTTGGCCACTTCCAGAGTGATTTTGTCCGTCTCTGCCAGGGAAGCCTGCAATGAAAAATCAGCCAAGATTAAAGAAGATGTAAAGACAGCATAAATGGTACCTCTAACGGTGGTTAATCATTCCCTTATGTTTAATCAGATAAAATCAACAAATCAATTATCTTAAATTCAACAGTTTATAGGCAGTCATGTGATTGCTGATACGCAGCCAGTGCTGATTTCCATAGTGGGGCGACGTCAGGAGAGGAAGGGGCATCGCCACCATGGACTCCATTAACAGTGAGGGAAGAAGGAGTGGACGGAGCTCTATGTTTCTGTGCCTGAGTGTTTTTGGAGCCATGACCATGCCCAGTAAGGGGAAGCCCAGAGATTATACACAATTATAAAATGTCAAAGCTTATGGGTGCCACCAACGCAACGACGGAACAGCCATTTCAATAGCAGCTGAATAGAGTGGTCGGCCTGGCACCAGAATTAAGCAATACAGCAAGATCACCAGTTAATTTAATGACATTAAAAGGAGAACTATGAGGTGAGTGAAAATCACTCACCTCATAGTTCTAGCCGACCTGTGACAATGAAACTGTCACACGTCGGCTCAATAGATCGGGAAGTGAGCGAACCCATACCGTCGCTCGCTCACTTCTTGATCTATCCCTGCAGAGCGCCGTGACCGCCACTTACGGATCCCCCTCCCCGCTCCGATCCTCCAGCGCTGACTGGCAGAATGGACGGGGGAGGGGGCGGGTACAGCTGGCTCTGCCTCTAGATAGGAAGAGCCAGCTGTCGATCACACAGCTGGGTGGATCTCAACAGTAATGTCGGGATCCGTCCCGGCTGCGGCGGTCTCAGTATACCGCAAGCTACTGAGCTTTGGGTCACAGGAGGACACTAGTTTGTGTCCTCCCGTGACCCTTAGGAGATCTATGGGGAAAAGCACCCACCCCATAGTTCTCCTTTAAAGTAGATGGAAAGGCAGTATAACCCCAACCTAGTTATAGGTACTGCCATGGGTGCTCTTGCCTTCCTTTCTATGCAATAGCTGAAATCATCAGATATTGCAATGATGATTATAAATAATAAATCATCATGGCAATACCTTTATTACAAGTTGTTTTATATGGTCATGTGACCGCCACCCATCTCAGCTGTCTAGGAATTAAGTGATTGGGGGGCAAGATTACCAGGAAGTGCCAGGGTAATATGAGGGCAATCTCCAGCGGCTTCCATTCTGTGCCCTCCCGCAGTGCCCTAGGGAGCGGCTCACTCTCCAACTTCCAGATTTATAATCATCCACGCCAGAAAACTGGCCGCACAATTATGATTTCAGCATTTAAAAGACACTTTACTGCACCTGAGAACATAGAAGCCTTACCTGAGACCTTGACACACATCACCCTAGGACAGGCTAGACATTCCACCAGGGACCTCTCTGCCCTAATGCATTTCACTGAAGCTCATCCTAGGGGGGAAACGCATCAGGGTGCAGAGGCCGCAGGTGGGGCTTTTATGTGTATGTTCTCAAATCAAATTTTACTGAACTGTGGGACCATTTGTGCAGCCGATTTTTTGTTGCTGTGGAATATATATGGGAAGCATGGATGTCCCCAGACACAAGTATCAAAGAGAGATTGGTAGTGACAACTTCTCTTCCATTTTTTTCAATTTATAGGACAGGGCCTGGGATACACTTCTTCCACATAACCCGCCTCCCTCATCCGAGACCCAGATACCACCTAAACACGGCTCCCCACCCCACGGAGTCTACTGCAGATTAGTACTAGGAAAAACTTTTGCTTTTTATTGGCGTCACGACTCCAATAATTCTGGAAATTGCCCCAGAGAATGGCCAGACGTGGCTTGTACCTCAGAGCTTTGTGTCTTTGTGGCCTTACCTTTCCTACCAGTTGCACAATCTCAGCCAGGTCCTCCTCTTCCTGCAGGATCTCCTTGGATTTGGTCCTGAGAGGGACAAACTCGGGGAAGTGCTTGTCGTAGTATTCATCCAGAGCCCTCGTGTACTTACTGTAGCTGATCAGCCAGTTCACTGAGGGGAAGTGCTTCCTCTGGGCCAGCTTCTTATCCAGCCCCCAGAACACCTGCCGAGACAACAGGGGGGTAATGAAGATCAATTCACTGCAAACCACCCAGCCAGACTGGCCTGATCTTTACATTACATCAGTGTTCCTTGATAACAGGTTATTCTTATCTCTACCTCCTGCAACTAGGATATGAAGAGAAAGGCTCACCGGATAATCCCAAATATGGGGAAGGGTGCTCGGTCCACGATCGACTCCTCCGTCACTGGGCCCCGCCTCCTCGATCGCCGGGTCCCGCCCCTCGATCGCCGGGCCCCGCCCCCTCAATCGCTGGGCCCCGCCCCCTCAATCGCTGGGCCCCGCCCCCTCGATCACTATGGTGATTGTTACGCCACTGTCACCAGCACACCAGACTCCTTCAAGGATAGTCAATTGTGAATTTAATGCAAACTTATGTCAAATACACAAGCGCTTTCGGGACCACACAGGATCCCTTCATGAGGCATATCAGCGACGGCATACGGCTGGTGCCCTGGCAGTCTGCCGCGGTATGGCCAACATATTCCGCAGCGCTGTACAATTGTACACACAGGACCCCTTCATCAGGCATAGCAGTGACGGCATATGACTGGTGCCCTGGCAGTCTGCCGCGGTGTGGCCTCCGCCCTGGCCAACATATTCCGCAGCACTGTACACACAGGACCCCTTCATCAGGCATAGCAGTGATGGCATATGGCCGGCGCCCTGACAGTCTGCCGCGGTATGGCCGCCAGCGCTGTACAATTGTACATCGCATCATCAGGCATTGTCAGTGACGATGCTGCTATGCCTGATGAAGGGATCCTGTGTGGTCCAGAAAGCGCTTGTGTGTTTGACATAAGTTTTCAATAAATTCACGATTGACTATCCTTGGAGTCTGGTGTGCTGGTGACATCTCTTTATTACCTCCTGCAACTGACGCATTTTGCTCACAACTGAGCTTAACTGTAGAAAAGGCCCCGTCCTCTGCATGTGATGCCTAGGCCACGATGATATTGGTAGATAGACGTCACCAGCACACCAAAATCACCCGAAATCCAAAGTGTTCGTTTATTGAAACCTCACGTCATCAGGACCCGATTGTGAGGACATACCATTTCAATAAACGAATACTTTGGATTCCAAATGATTTCAGTGTGCTGGTGACATCTACCAACCCCCCGGCTATTGGGGTTTTTCTGGTAAAGAGTGCGACAAGACAACTATTAGCCGAAGATGAGGGCACCTGCTTTCCGCATAGATCCTGGGCAAAATAGGACAGTCAAAATCTCGCAAGACGACGCTCTTGCAATGGGCAGGAGTGTCTTCTTGCAAGATTTCACTATCTCGGAATCATCCCGCATGGACAGGGGCATCATGTCCAATGATGTTGGAGAGGGGGTAAGTATAAATCTTACTTTTTCTTTTACAGGTACATTTTGTAACTACTACGGATGCACCGATACTAGTATTTTGGTATCGAGTAGCGATATTTTTTTCCCCCGGTACTCACCGATACAGGAAGTCCCATTCAGGAAGCCAGGTGGCGTGCAATGACAAGGCGCCCTGCTGCCTCATTGGCCGGGAATCCAGCTCCATGCTCCCTCGTCATGAGGTGACGAGGGAGCATGAAACCGGCTTCCCGGCCAATTAGAATGCTGGGCACCGCGTCATTACATGGCGCCCGGCTCCCTGATTGGTTGGGAAGTTGGCCGATCAGGAAGCCAGGCAGCGTGTAATGATGCGCTGCCCGGTTTCCTGATACCGGAAGTATAAGGCAAGGTACCAGAGCATTTAGGTGGGTACGAGTACTCACCCAAATACTAGGCATTGATACTAGTATCGGTATTGGTGCATCCCTAGTACCTACTAACAGTAGGTGATTAGTAAAGGGGAGGGGGCCCATGCAATTTCAGCAGGCCTTGCATTTACTGCAAGGTCCGCATTGAGCTCAGTTAGGAACTGAGGGGGTGAGATCTACCACTTGAGAATAATCTGTGTAAAAGAACTACTTGGCAAGAGGTATTGAGAAGTGCGGATCTCACTTCTTTGGGTTTGCTGGTAACCCACCAACATGTTTTGAATGTAAAAGGATAAAGAAGCGCCTGGAAGAACCTCATGGGAAGAATATAATAAACTATGCTACTGAAAATCAAACCCAGGGCACATATCTTCAAATCAAGGAGGCGAACCACCACAAATGTATCCGTAATTGTCCATTTAAAACCTATCCCCTACTTCCTGCCAGCAGAACATCTCACTAGAAAAAAAAAGGTGATAAAAGGAAATATGATTTCATTATACATTACCTGAACAATACCCAATGTAGCCGATGTCACAGGATCGGAGAAATCTCCACCAGGGGGCGACACACTGCAAAGGAGACGGAGAGGAAATGATTACATATCTCAATAAGAAAATGTAGATATACACAGAAAACAACCACACTATAAAACAGAGGATATGGTGGACAAGTTCACCAAAACACTAATGTAACCACCACATGTCATTTTGTGATTGAATGTTAAGGCTGAAGTTTATTCTGCTTATATTCTTGCATCTCTGGTTCCTCCTTTCCCCTAATCGCCACGGCAATTGGCTGGGGAGACGGCCAGCCTACCAGCTCCGTGCTGATCGGCTGGGAAGCCGTCTTTCCAGCCAATCAGCATCGAGTCAGCTTCCCAGCCAATCAGGAAGCCGGGAGCCGGGTCATTACTCGCTACCCGGCTTCCTGATCGGCTGGGAAGCCAGTTTCCCAGCCAATCACAAATGAGATGTCCAAGCAACATGAAGCCGCCTTCCCGGGCAATCGGGAAGCTGGGTGGCATTACCCGCCGCCTGACTTCCCAATTGCCCTGGAAGCCGGCTCCGTGTCAGTGGAAGCACCGGTATCGGTATCAGCGAGTACCAAAAGCAAAATATCGGTACTCGTAATCGATACAGAAAAAAAAATGGTATTGGTGCATCCCTAATAAACAGAAACCAATTATCCCCAGCAAAGTGCTCACTACATCTACTTCCATTGCAGTTTCTACTTGGACTCATCTGATAAACACAAGTTACTATTAAATGCCAATATAAAGTGCCTGTATGCCAATGTGAGGTTCTTTAAAAGGAGAACTATGGGGTCAGGGCTTTTCCCCATAGTTCTCCTAAGGGTAACGGGAGGACACAAACCAGCTTCCTCCCTTCACCCTAGGCTCAGTATATAGGGAGCTACAGCTCGCGGTATACTGAGACGCCACAGCCGGAGCAGATCCCGACATCGATGTCGAGATCGGCACAGCTGTGTGAGTGACCGCTGGCTCTGCCTATCTAGAGGCAGATACAGCTGTACCCGCCCCCTCCCGTTCCGCCAGTCAGCACTGGCGGATCGGAGCGGGGAGAGGGGAATCCAGCCCCTCCCTGTCACGGCAGAGAGCTGTGACAGGATCGAGAGGTGAGCGAACGCTGGTATGTGTTCGCTCACCTCCCGATCTACTGAGCCGACCTGTGACAGTCTCATTGTCACAGGTCGGCTAGAACTATGAGGTGAGTGAAAAGCACTCCCCCTCCCCCTCAAAGTTCTCCTTTAAAGAACAGGTTCACTTGCAGGAATGGCTTTCCAGAAAGAAGCTGTGCACACTGTTGGCACTATATAAATACTATGTAATAATAATAATAATGAAGTTATTGGAACACATAATTGTTCTCCTGGTCATTGGAATGATTTGTTGGGCAATGTCATGAGACAGCCAATCTATTTGTTGTACAGCGAGGTATTTGAGAGTCTAGGTTGCCGTCAAGCTAATAAGTTGTTCCACAATAAGAGGAATGAAATGTCTCTTATAATTAATATTGTGTTTCAGCAAATTCTTAAGTAATGAGAACAAATATAAATGGTGTTTGGGAGATCCTTCATGGAAACTGTCCATGACTGGAGATTAAAAGCTTCCCCTTTATGGTGAAGATCTGAGGCCCTCGGCTTGCTACGTCTATGGAGCTCAACCTCCATTGCTATTGCTTAGTAGCTCTTCTCTTCCAAATAAACTTTAAAATCCCTTTCATCGTCAGAGGTTTATTTTCTTCACCTGATGGACTAAAGTGTATTTCTACCTTTACTACAAATGGAGCTTGCACTAGGGTTGCCACCTTCTCTTCAAGAGAAACCCGAAAACTCTAGCGACGCACGGACATTTTTTTGGGGAGAATGAGTAGCGGCTTATTCATATGGGAATAGCGCCGCCCATTCATATGTAAATACCACAGTTGAGGCTATTTTCAGTGGGGGGCCAGTAGCCCCTATCTTAATTTTGGTTGCCCCTGTCTGCCTGACATCTTGTGTCCGGGATTCTGCTGCCATGAAACCCAGACACAGCATTCAAAACCCGGACTGTCCGGGTGAACCCTGGACAGGTGGCAACCCTAACTTGCACAGTAAATCCTTCTACATGTCTACAGTACATCACAACTCAAAAAGGTTTTTCTTAATTTTAGGGAACTGCTGAGCTATGCAAATCATTCCTTTCCACCCCATGGGCCAACTGTCCATCCAGAAGCAGATATACAATCTAATATCATAGAGCCATTTATTCCAAACTGCATACAGCTGTTTCAGGCTTGTGGGCCTTCATCGGTGCAATGCATGGAAACAATGGCTTCTTTGGAGTTGCGCTTTCTCATGGATGCAAAAAAAAAAAAGAAGCAATTTGATTTTTGTTTTCTGGCAGTTGCAGACACTCATAGCTGGCTGTAGAATGAATGGAAAAGTCCCCTTCATGTACTAAAGAGTACAAAATAGCAATTAAATGTGTAACATGATCATCTGTAATGAAACTGGAGGTTTCCTGTAACCTCTCCATCTTTCTTGGCCGAGGTTCCTCTGTCTCCGCTGTGTCCAACACATCGATATAACGATCCCACAAGGTTACTAGAGCAATCATTGTGTCAGTTCGGGGTGGGGATCTCACACCTCCGCTGCTAGCTGCTGAAGCTCCCCCTCATTGCAGGCCTGCCAAGTCTCTCTTTGGCAGAAGGAGAGGACACTGGCAGAGCCTCAAATGCGTGACCTGGCACTTACTGCTACAATGACTACACAGCTGCTTTTACAAGGATGTTTAACCCTTCCTATGATGGACAGAAGTGGAGGGAAGCTGTAGATGTGTCCATACAGGCCCTGGTAAGGCAATTCATCTAAGCAGTGCTAAATATCCTTTCTCTGTGAATGAGATGAAGTAAAGTTACATCAGCCAGTAGATAGTACATCTTGTGGTAATGGCAAACAAACTCCTCCATATCATTCTGCTTGCCAAGAGGTTTTTTTGACGTCACGGGTGCATGTGCATTTCCACTCTCCAGCATCCTAGACATGCTGAGATTTGCACAGCGTCTTGCTGGGATTAGGTGACCTTTATCTCGCCAGATGCTTGCCGTCACAATTCTCTTACTTTCCTTTAAGTCCATGTGACCAGCCATGTTACTGGGCATGATAAACTGTGTCTACTACTGTTTCTGTATGTCAATGATGCTTGTCAGTGTTTATTACTTGTCTTGTCTAAACGATTGTACAGCGCTGCAGAATATGTTGGCCAGGGTCGGCGGCCAGACCGCACGGGTCGGCGGCCAGACCGCACGGGTCGGCGGCCAGACCGCACGGGTCGGCGGCCAGACCGCACGGGTCGGCGGCCAGACCGCACGGGTCGGCGGCCAGACCGCACGGGTCGGCGGCCAGACCGCACGGGTCGGCGGCCAGACCGCACGGGTCGGCGGCCAGACCGCACGGGTCGGCGGCCAGACCGCACGGGTCGGCGGCCAGACCGCACGGGTCGGCGGCCAGACCGCACGGGTCGGCGGCCAGACCGCACGGGTCGGCGGCCAGACCGCACGGGTCGGCGGCCAGACCGCACGGGTCGGCGGCCAGACCGCACGGGTCGGCGGCCAGACCGCACGGGTCGGCGGCCAGACCGCACGGGTCGGCGGCCAGACCGCACGGGTCGGCGGCCAGACCGCACGGGTCGGCGGCCAGACCGCACGGGTCGGCGGCCAGACCGCACGGGTCGGCGGCCAGACCGCACACAGTACACAAAACTGCTAGAGAGCACTAACATTATCATCAATACTCCCACTACTGACTACTTGGATTGAAGAGACACACAACAAGTACCAAAAGGACGCATGCGGCCCCCTAATCACAGGTTGGTCACCAAGGTTCTAAGCCATGGCTAGAATCATAACACTGGAAATGTGACAGCTGCTGGGTTGTTTTCAGTCTCTACTAAAGGGTGACTTTGGAGGAATGAAATGTGACAAGCTGATCTGTTAGACATGTTTATAGAACAAACACAGAAAGAGGGCTCATCACCCTGTGGCATCTCATACATCCCTCCCCTGCAATGAATATGAAAACCATGCTGTAATACTCACGCTCCAACAATGCTGACGCTGCCCTCCCTCTCTGGGTTCCCCAGACACTTCACTCGGCCGGCACGCTCATAGAAGGAGGCCAGTCGGGCTCCCAGGTAAGCAGGATAACCGCTATCTGTGGGCAGAGGACAGAATAGTTAATTGGTCAGTCCCCCTAAAGTATCAATGTACATCAAAATCCCTAAAGAGACCTCGTCACCAAGTAAAAGACTGTAGATATAAATACAGAAATATTACGTTCGTTAAAAGCTTACTTGCAGTGTTTATTTTTTCCAATCCTGCAAACTATTTTTTATTTACTTACAATGCGCTATTGAACCTGCTAGTAGGATGGACTACTTCAGAAGACTCAATTCCCTTGCATAGCCTCTGTCCTGATTGCATGTCATAGACACTTACAGAAAAGCAGAGGGCTAACGATAGTCTGTGCTGGCCCAGCTCCATCCCCCCTCCTCTCACCTTCCTACATAAAAACTTTGATGTAGCTGCCGGAGGAAGAGGGAAGGGGAATAATATAAAGTGTGTTACATGCACGCCCAATACATCCTGCATTTTCCACTGAATAGGAAATGTAATGCTTGTTTCTCAGCACAGCACCACCCCCTCAGTGTCCTGGAACAGAACATTTTTGCAAAGGAGCCGATGACGTCATTGGGATTAAAAGTATTTAAAAAAAAATAAGGCTGCTGCTTTTATATTGCAAAATATTATTCTAGCATTGCTATCACTCTTTGCTGCGAGTCCCATATCTGATTCTTATTCAGTCTTAGGCTAGGTTCACTCCTGCGCGACACACGGGACGCGCGGTCCTGAACAATGTAGGCAGCAATTGCCGCGCGGCCCCAATGGGGTGACATCCGCACGGCAATCGCAGAAAAAGGGTACATGTACCTTCTTTTTGCAATGCACAACGCGGGGCCGTCTAGGGTGCCATTAGAAACTAATGGCACCCGCAGCACGATCAGTTCACACTTGGGGCGACTCCTGACCGCGCAGCAATCCGCGCGTAATTGTACACAATTGCCGCGCGGTGAGGTGACGTCTAGGTGTAAACCTGGTCTCAAGTTTAATCATTTTTACATTTTATGCTCCAGTCACACCCATCGCCTGCTACAGCAGGTGTCAGAGGAACAATCTTGACGTGCTTACCAGCAGGCATTTCAGCCAGACGTCCTGAGATTTCTCTAAGAGCCTCGGCCCATCGAGAGGTGGAGTCGGCCATCATACTGACATGGTAGCCCATGTCTCGGAAGTATTCGGATAGCGTGATTCCTGTACAAAACAGTATGTAGAGGTCAGAGAAAGGCACGGAGCTCACGCCGAGGGCATCGGAACAGCGGCAGAAAGGCATCCAGCGTTACCTGTGTAGATGGAGGCCTCTCTGGCGGCCACAGGCATGTTGGAGGTGTTGGCTACTAGCGATGTTCGTTTCATGATGCTCTCCACCTTCCCGTCCACTTCCATAGTCAGCTGCAAAACAAATCCGCGCCGTGTTATTCGACGCGCGTCTCTCACAAGAGATTCAATTACACGATTTAAAAACAAAGAAACGCAAAGCTTCCCCTCTCCAGAAACCTCTGGCTTAAAACCGGGATTAATAAAGCGCATTGGAGTCTGCCAAGAACGACAGCTGCTCTTTACTGCCGGCTCTATGTGGATGTCACGGATGAGGGGTCAAAATGAGGTTGAAGGAGGTGAACTGCGGACACTACAAGTGGCAGCAGGTTTTGGTAACAGAAGCTGGGCGCCCGCTTACTGTTCAACCCAAGCCAGAGGGCAATAAATACGAGCTAGGAGGCCAATCTGATTTTTGTGCCGAACATTTTCCCCAAAAGGGTCATAAAACTTTAACATGCACATTTTCCTTCATTTTCTGTTCTGCTATGATGTCAGCCCCATTAGGAGCCCCATCTTCTCGGCACTCACAGCTACAAGAGTGCGCTGAGTACTGCTCCACAGTGATGTCCACAAAGCAGAATGAGGGCGTTCAGATATACCAATTCAGTAAAATGCAAGGTCTGCTTAAAGTGACATTAAAAAAGGCAAAAGTCCCCCCCCCCCCGCCACAATGCTAATGTAAGGACTTACCTTAAAGAAGAACTATGAGGTGAGTGCTTTTCATTCACCTCATAGTTCTAGCCGACCTGTGACAATGAGACTGTCACAGGTCGGCTCAGTAGATCGGGAGGTGATCGAAACACATACCGGTGTTCGCTCACCTCTCGATCCTGTCACGGCTCTCTGCCGTGACAGGGGAGGGGCTGGATTCCCCCATCCCCGCTCCGCTAGCGCTGACTGGCGGAACGGACGGGGGAGGGGGCGGGTACAGCTGGCTCTGCCTCTAGATAGGCAGAGCCAGCTGTCAGTCACGCAGCTGGGCGGATCCAGACATAATTGTCGGGATCCGCTTCAGCGTCTCAGTATACCGCGAGCTGCAGCTCGCAGTATACTGAGCCTAGGGAAAAGCCTTAACCCCATAGTTCTCCTTTAAATTACGTCTCTTAATCCGATGATCTTCTTTACTGTCCTTTTCAGCTGTCCCTCCAGTGCTGGTGCGGGTCTCCGATCCAGCGCTGACTCCTCTGTCCTCTTCTCTCATGTCCCAGGGTGTCTGAGCGGGTGCACGCTGCTCCATAGACTTACCTTGGGTCTCTCCTCGTCTCCTGCCAAACATCTGAACTGCGAAAGCGCCCTCCCGAGACATTTTCAGATGTTTGGACGGAAGCGCGGCAGGGACACAGGTAAGTATTAACTCTTTGAAAAAGTTTTTTTTTTTTTTATCGTTTTGCCTATATCTACTGCTTGCTAGCCGTAGATATATGCCAAAACATGCGAGGGTTTAATAACCCTTTTAACTGCCCGGAAACTTTCATTATAGGTACATTATACACCTACTAACAGTAAACCATTTGTAAAAGGGGGTGGAGACCCAGGCAATGTGAGCCGACCTTGCATTCTATTGCAAAGTCTACGTTAAGAATAGCTCGACCTGCCTAAAATGCTTCCACATTAACAATTCAGTAACGCAGGAAAAATTGTACTGCCTGAAAATATCGATTAGTCTTCACGTCCATTCCTGTCTCTCTTTAGCAAGGGTGGGCAACTCCGGCACTCCAGGTGCTGTGGAAGTCCCATGAGGCATTGCAAGTTGTGATTAGCCACTCCCATTGCTATGCCGTGCCCTTGTCATTCAATTGTCAGAAGCCAGAGGCCCTACAGCCCACTAATACTCTGGCATTTGACAGTTGAATGACAGAAGGAGGGGGTGACTCTTGGGTAGTGGCTGAGACCCCATTTACAAACAGGGCCTAGAATACAGAGGCTCAACAGGGAGTATTTGTTATATGTAGGGATGCACCCATACCGATACCGAGTATTTGGGTGAGTACTCGTACTCGCCCAAATGCTCCGATACCTAGCATGAGTACTTCCTGTATCAGGAAGCAGGGCTGCGCATCATTACACGCTGCCCGGTTTCCTGATTGGCCGGGAAACGGCTCCATGCTCTCTCGTCACTTGTGATGAGAGAGCATGGAGCCGATTTCCCAGCCAATCAGGAAGCCGGGTAGCGTGTAATGACGCTCTGCCTGGCTTCCCGATTGGTCAGGAAGCTAGCAAATCCGGAAGGGGGGCGCCGTGTAATGACACAGCGCCGGCATTCTGATTGGCCGGGAAGCCGGCGTCATGCTCCCTTGTCATCTCATGAATCATAATATTAAGAAACTGACCTTAAATCATTAGTTTGTATTGCTTTAGAAAAAATGTGACCTGTCCCTTTAAGAAAAAGTATCGGTAATTGGTATCGGCGAGTACTTGATCAAAAGTATCGTTACTCGTACTCTGTCGTAAAAAAGTGGTATCGGTGCATCCCTAGTTATATGCATGCACCCCTCATCAAAATGCTCCTTCCCCCATTCAGGCCTTAAAAGTCAAAAAATTGCAATTGGCATTAGCCAGAAACTCATCTAGAATATGCAGCTCAGTTATGGGCGCCAGCACCAGTTGTAGAACATGAAAGTGAGTAAAGAAGGTAAATTAAATTAAAAACCGGTATGGAGGAGCTCAGCTATGATGAAAGAATCAACTGAACTGTATGAGTGTATGCTTCTGGGAGGAGTTATGCAAAAAAAATCAAAAATTCCTTGATTAGTGGGTGTCAGTCTGGAGGAGTGGGCGTTCCTCAGCAGGCTGCATTTGCATACAGACCACCCTAGGTAATGCCCACGTGTGAGGCAGAGAACTGAAAGAAAGGGACCGGGCCAGGGAAGTCCATTTGGGGAGGAAAGAGCTAGGTGATGCTGGATTTTCTTCAGACAGGAAATGAGGGCTGGCTCCATCTGACTTGCTGCAGCTTCTAATACACATTGCGAGAAGCTCACTGTGTGCAGTGACATCAGAGGAAGCCATTTCAGTCCAGGAGAAGAGCCGGTTTAGTTGTGCAAGGCTGAAGGGGAGGCTGGAGCTGAGCTTGACTCCTGGCCAAAGCATTCAGGCTGGGCATGGGCCCATTGTCAACTTTTCAGAACCATAGCACTGGACCCTCAGTCTTAATTACCGCTCCCTAGGATTATGAGAAACATATTCTAGGCAATAATTAAAACCGAGACCTCCCTGTAAGAGGTCTAGGGTAGAGCGTCCCTCACCTCAGGGAAATCTCTCAGTACTTCAGACATCTCGTTTCCTCTCTCTCCGCACCCTACGTAGATGATGACGTCACTGTTGGAGTACTTGGACAAGGACTGCGAAATCACCGTTTTGCCGCAGCCAAAAGCCCCGGGAATGGCGGTGGTCCCACCTTGGACACATCTGAGGAAAAACAACCAATCGTATGAAGACAATAAACATGGGATTACTAATATTATTGGATCATTTAAACTGTGACATAAAAATACATGACCGCACCACTTCTATTTATTTAAAATATATAATACATATACATTATAGATCTACATCTATAGATTTTATATATGATATATATAGATCTATAGATAGATATAAATTATATCACCAGTTTTGATAAATTCCACTAATTGTATATGATAATATATATAATATATATATATTCATATACAATTAGGGGAATTTATCAAAACTGGTGCAGCCAAAATCTGGAGCAGCTGTGCATGGCAACCAATCAGCTTCTCTCTTTCATTTTCAAATCTTAACTGAACAAACTGAAGAGAGAAGCTGATTGGTTGCTATGCACAACTGCTCCAGTTCATGTCTACTCCAGTTTTGATCAATTCCCCTCAATATATATAATATATACTATTTAGAGCAGCAGCAGCAGCCTTGATCTTGGTAGAACCACTTCCAAGACCAGGATGTACAGCTACCTCATATGGTCCTGAAGTGGTTAAAGAACGGCTACACAAAGAAATAGGATTTTAAAAATGATTTTTCGTTATGCTGTGTGAACAGGAAGACATAACATAGAGGAGCCTTCTTAAATTTGTCGGCAAAAGTGGAAATACACTTTAAGAGCGTTGGTTTTGGCTTGGCTATATGCACATCTCGGAGTTCTCTACTACCGCAAAGTGGAGATGTGTTGGGAGGGCTCCAGGTCGGCGGTGCCGGGAGGACAGATAAAACAAAGTTCACGCGTCAGCTGAAGCTGCGAGTTTGCTTTATTACTTACAGGTGTGCTTTAAAAAGTCAAAATATTCAGAAAACGTATTAAACTGAGCGGACCATTGTAACTGCTCCGTTCACTTCAACACCGAGTGATTGGCTGGCGGTGCAGACACTTCCAGCCCGATGTCTGAGGTCCAGGAGATTATGAGACGGTCAATATGAAGGCAGGTTTCAGGAAATTATATTGGCAGCATTTAAAAATGTATCTCGGTTTTTTTTCTAGTTGAAACATATCTGGAAAAGTGTGTGTGTGTGAGAGTGCGAGTGTGCGTGTTCTGCCGGGGAATTCTGCTTTAACCTTTTTGCCGTGATGGGAGCAAGTAACCCGTTTACAGTTCTTCAGCTCACTCCCAGGTGCCCAGTGATCCGGGTGGCGATTGTTAGCCCCTTCTGTGATAGCATCAGAGCTAAACAGAAACTTTAACCACCGATTTAATGTCTCCCAAAACTGTTACTTTATTAGATTTACATGGTGCTGACAATTTACGCAGGGCTTACACAGTGCACAGTCGCATCAGTCGCCGCCCTCGAGGATCTTACAATCTAAGATTCCTATCTCACATGCATACATACAGGAGCCAAATAACCTTCCAGCATGTCTTTGGAGTGTGGGAGGAAACCGGAGTACCCGGAGGAAACACACACAAGCACAGGGAGAACATGCAAACTCCTTGCAGATAGTGTCCTGAGCGAGATTTGAACCGGGGACCCCCAGTGTGGGAAGGTAGGAGCGCTGACCACCAAATCATTGTGCTGCCAGGTTGCCAGTGTGTCTACCCCGTTTCCCCAAAAATAAGACCTACCCCGAAAATAAGACCTAGTACTATTTTTGGGATTGGGTTATTCAATTTGGATTTGCGTTAACTTTGGATTGTTGTACATTAAAAAAAAAAAAAGACCTACCCCGAAAATAAGACCTAGTGTGGTTTTTTGAGCCAAAAAAAATATAAGACAGTGTCTTATTTTCGGGGAAACGCGGTATTTATCTCTCAACCGAACTTTCAAGCCCTCAAATGCCTGGTGTCATAGACGATCACACGTGCAGCGCCAAGACAACTGCAAAATGCTAACCACATTCTACAGTGTGTCTGCTTTTTACATCGGTGCAAAAAATGAAAAAAAGGGCCTCAGTCATGAAGGGGTTAAGCAATTTTTAGGCCCAAAACATCCACTTTAAAATGTATGCAAAAAGTTCAAAAACCGCTCTGGCAGCGAAAGTTTTAAAGGGAAACCAAAAATGTTTTCGGGTGATTTTATCTTTACTACGTTTTTAAGCTTCTGTTTTAGGCCTCCTATTACATATCCAATCTTTGTTTTACAAATAAACACATGACAAAAGGATTGCCAAAAGCACTCTGGGCTAGCTAACAAGACGGTGCAACAAAGGAGAGCTTGTTTTGTATCTCTCTTTAATTATAACCCAGGACAGGGCCATCTGCAGAGATTACTCATCGAGATCTGTAAATGGGGTTTATTTTCGCACCACTGAAAGGTGAACTAGCCGATTGTGTGCAAAGGAGACTAGAGCACCTTCCGCTGGCTGGATAGAAAACTGCATAATATAAATATTAGGGATGCACCGATACCGGGTTTTTCGGTATCAAGTACCGTTATGTTTTTTCTTCGCTACTTGCCGATATCGAGTACAGATGCCTTTTGCCCCAATTAACAGGAAGTTAATCATGACCCGTCGCCCGCCTTCCTAATTGCCTGTGAAGCCGGTGTTCTAGCGAAAGAACACCGGCATCAGAGGTTGCCTGGCTTCTTGATCAATCAGGAAGCCGGGCGGCGAGTTATGAGGTGCCGTCCGGCTTCCTGTTTGGTCAAGAAGCCGTCTTCATTAGTTCCTAGGCAGCCTGACCAATCAGGAAGCCGGGTCATAACCCACCGCCCGGCTTCCCGATTGGAAAGGAAGCCGGCTCCATGCTCCCTCGGCACCGCTGGTCCGAGGGAGCTCTCCCTCTGACCGGAAGTACCGGTATCAGAACATTTGGGCGAGTACGAGTACTCGGCTAAATACTCAGTATCAGCACCCATACTAGTATCGGCGCATCCCTAATTAATATGCAAGATTTCATATTTTGCTAAACAGACCAGACCGTAATAAAGAACATAAATATGTACAGAATGAATGTTCCATTTAGGTTTTGTCCTCCCTCTTACAGATCACATACAGTAATACAATGTACTCACGGGAACAGAGCATCCAGCACTCTCTGACCAGTCAGAAGCGGGTGGTTGGCTTGCAGCTTCTCTGTCACTGGCCGAACCGTTCTCACCGGCCACACCTGGACCATCGTGAACTTGTCCTTAACACCCTCAAACTCCAATTCCAGCACCACATCCTACAGGGGACCAGGGAAAGGCGGGAAAACGAACGATTAACATAGCTCCGGCCACTATCCTTAAAGTGTATTTCCACTTTTGCAGTGACATTTGACATTTTTCTCAGCACCTTCACAGTGATCTGTCCTATTAGAAAGACTTAGGACTGAAATTTGAGGATTGTGTTTCTCTTATTAACATTGGAATGCAGAAGGCAGGGTGTTCATCCATTGTCAGGACAGGCAGTGTTCAAATCTACTTTACCAATGATATTAAACAAACCTCTTACAACATTATAATTCAATTCAGTTTATCACTGTGAAGGTGCTCAGAAACAAAAAACCTAGATACAGCCATGTTGCCTGCTGCAATAAAACATCTAAAAAGTTAAGAAATATTTAAAAAGATATATATTTTTCCTTCTGTGAATGGGAACACAAAATATATAGGAGGTGTCGTCTCAAATTTGACTGCAAAAGTAGAAATGCGCTTTCAAATTAAGAATCTATCCTGGAGTCCAGCTATCGGCTCAGACCTATGAATTGTCTTACAATTTGCTAAGCAGAAGAGCGTAGTAAACTCACAGAGGTGTCGTAGTGCCCGGGAGGTGCCACGTAGGTGACTGTGCCCCTGTTGCGCGGAGGGAGCATCATCTTGTGTTTGATCAGAGAGTTCTCGAACACTATCCCGTAGATATCTCCTCCGGTGATATGACTGCCGACCTGCAGGACAAAAAAAAACACAAATCTTCTTTATATTAAAAACCGGGACCCGGTCATTCAACCTACTTCCTGTCAGCTGAGGCAGTCCACAGACCTGGCCCCTAGAGGTGCATCGACATGACGGCCTGGGTCCACAGTACTGATGCACAGAACAGCGGCCATGCAAGCGTGTGCGATTGCTTCCCTGTGCAGAACTGCCCACCACGGACAAGAGGAGGAACGTCACATGACTGTTAGAAGACTGCTGGGTTTAGGTTATGTATAGTGTTACTGGCAGGGTCACCTGGAGTTGGGTTTTGAACCCAAGAACAAAAATGTAATACACCGACGCTTACCAGTCCTTCAATGGAGGTGGCTGCATTCGTTTTCAGGCTTTATTTACCTGGAGATCCTGCCAGTAACACACTTCCTGCTCTGGGGGTGACAATGCTCACTCACCATACTGTATATATACACCGAGTGGCCAGATTATTATGACCACCCCATCAGAACTTCATTGGTCTTCTACTGTCGTGGTAACCAACCCGCTTCCCTATTTATAATGGTCTGGCCCTCTAGCAACTTCAGCGCCAAATTATAGCTAATTTGCCTACAAACGTCAGGTGGTCATAATAATCCGGCCACTCAGTGTATGGAGGAGTAGCATTGTCACCTTAGGCCAGGAAGTGTTTTAGGACTACAGATCACTCTGCCCTCTTATATATAAACATAAGAAGGAGGTGTTCTGAAGTCCTCAGGGAGAACTTCTGTCATTGAACGCATAACATAGCACCTTTGTGGACTTGCATAGTTACATAGTATTTGAGGTTGAATAAAGACATAAGTCCATCAAGTCCAACCTATTGTGTGTGTGTGTGTTTTTATAGGTCCCAGAGTCATCTCGTTCTTAAGAGTACCTGTACCCCTGTACATTAAAGTCTCTCAGGAAATCATCCAAAAGCTTCTTGAATGATTCCAGACTATTTGCGGAAATCACTCCTTGTGGCAGAGAGTTCCAGATCCTAACCGCGCGAACTGAGAAGAATCCCCTCCGCCCCTTGTGTTGGATTTTGTTTTCTACCATTTTAGGTGGTGTCCTCTAGTCTTTGTTACGAAATTAATCTTAAAGAGTTTGTTGCTAATGTTGCTGTCACTATTGAACATCTTGTACATGAAAATCACGTCCCCCCTTTAAGCTCCTTACTTCCAGCGTGAACATGTTTAAATTTAGTAGCCGTGTCTCATAGCCCTGGTCCTCCATCCCTTTGATGAGTTTGGTTGCCCTTCGCTGGACTCTCTCCAGCTCAAGGACATCCCCTCTGTGTACCGGTGCCCAAAACTGCACCGCATACTCCAGGTGAGGCCGAACCATTGATGTGTAAAGTGGCAAAATTATAGACTTGTCCCTGCAAAACATTCCCTTCTTGATGCAGGACAGGACTCTACTAGCTTTGCTTACCGCAACCTGGCACTGTAATCTATTATTCAGTTTATGGTCTACAGTGACCCCCAAATCTTTCTCCATTTCAGACTTCCCTAGCGGCACCCCCATAATTGTATAACCCATTTGCTTGTTTTTAACCCCGAAGTGCATAACTTTGCATTTATCGACATTGAACCTCATCTGCCACATTAATGCCCCTCCCCCTATTCTATCCAGGTCCTCCTGTAATGTTACAGTACCACATCCACCGGCCTCCCTCCATCAAGATCTCTACTTACCCCCTCGTAAAAAGTTAGCAGGTTAGTCTGACAGGAACGGTCTTTCCTGAACCCGTGCTGGTTATCGCCAACTATGCCATTACCCTGAACAGATTCTACCAAGTAGTCCTTAATCATTCCCTCTAACAGTTTACAAACTACCGATGTAAGACTAACTGGTCTGTAATTCCCAGGTTGGCATCTTGCCCCCTTTTTGAATATTGGAACTACCGTAGCCCTCCGCCAATCACTCGGAACTCTACCAGTCATTAGAGAGTCCTTAAAAATGAGGAATAATGGTCT